CCGGAAGCCCAGCCACCCGAAGCACTGCGGTGTGGCCGGCTGGGGCTCCAGCAGGCCGCAGCCCCCGGCCCTCAGCGAAGGAGAGGCCCTGACAGGCCCGCTCAAGTCGCCATTCCAATGGCAGCAGCCCCGGTTGCTCTAGCCTCTGCTGTCGGCTCGGCATTGTGAACTCACTTAAACCAGCGCGGTTTGAAAACAAACACGTGCAGCTACCCTGCCGCACTATTTTGGGAGCCTAGCCAGAGACTTTCACAGGCCGGAGCCTCTGCGTGGTTCTCTCTCCAGCCCGCGAGGGCGGGGGAGTCTCATGCATATTCATCAGCACGTGGAACCGCGGGCCGCAGGCCGCGCATGCGCACATCTCGTCCTGCCTGGCCAGAGCCTGCCGCCACGATTTGGAAAGCGCCCCGCCGGGCTGCGGGTGGCTGGAGGGTCCCTCAAATGCTGACGACCCAGCTTTCCGTGGAGGTATTGTGGGGAAGTCTCGCTGTTGCACCCCCTACACCTACCCCCGAAGACTGTTTCCATGCTTTCAATAAATCCACCAATGCAAAAATTTCCCTTTTCGCACTTCATCTCACCCCTGTCCTTTCTCCACAACTTTCAGTTTTCTTAGTCAGAGGCTAGATTTTCCCGGATGAACGGAACACGTTTAGAAAGGAATCGCGATGCAAGTTTCTCTCGCCGTTTACGTTCCCGCTTTCTGTAACTTAATGGACATTGATACACAAAAGAAAGATGTAAAATAACAGGTTTTTAAAGTTTGCTAAGGTCGGACGGCTTGGGTTTGCTTGCTATTGTTGTTTTTAAAGATTGATTCCAATATGTTTATACCCATGTTCAATAGTTGATTCTTGTGTGTACTGTAGGTGAAAATGTCACTGTGTAACTTTCACAACACGTGAATTTTCCTGCACATGCTTACAGAGATGTCTCACAACCATCAGAGGCAACCAAAGTATTGTGAACAGTTGACACACAGTCTGTAGCATCTTCACTGCCAAATGATATTTCCACTCTAGATAGCTAAGTCCGGTTTTTTAAAAACTCACCTTTAGTATATAACATCAATTGGAAACTTCATACTGTTTTAGTTCTTCACTCTAAAATGGATATCAACTTTAGGAACTGATGACAGATCCCAGCTTCCACAGTAAAAATAGCCTCTGGTTTGGCCTGGTGTGTTTCCTCTTGCTAAGGAAGAGACTCTGGAGCAAACCAGCCTTGCATAGATTTAAGGAGAACAGTATTCATAATTTGCACCTATTACGCCATTATATTTGCAATAAACTTTGAGGAAAAGGATTGACTGTGACATAGGAAGTTAACATTTTTTGTATTTCTTGGCCCAAAATAGTGGTTATCATTTTTTTAAAAATTGCTGTATGCTTACCCATAATAACCCTACTTTCTATATTTAACTAGTTTAAATGGTACATATTACAGAAGATGGACAGGGTGGTTAAAAAGCTGAAAGAGAGACTCTCATGGGTAACTTGTACCTTTAGCGGCTTGAGGCACAGACAAGATCAATCCTTCCATTGCCACACTATTTTCAATAATTCTAAAACAGTTGATATCAACTGTGACTATCTTTATGAAAACGCTTTACCCCCTCAAATATGAACACATAATTCTAAGAACTAACTACATTTGATGCTACAAGGAAGACAGAACTCTGTACTGAGAGAGGAGGAGATAAATTTGTAATCAGTATTTTAAGTTGGAAAAATAAAAGAAATGGAAGTTAGGAATGTGTAAGAGCTGATGTCTTTATATCTAGTCCACAGCCAAGGGCACAAGTGCCTTTATTTTGAGCGTGCCAGACCACATAGAGTAACTCCTCATAACATCTTAAACTAAATCCTCTCTTTAAGGTCTAGGGCCTTCTCCAACTCACTTCCTGAACAGCAGTATGCTCAGGTAACAACTCCAACAGCACTGACTCACAAGGGGTCCCAGACACTGATTTAATGTTGGCCTCAAAAAGAAAACTTCTGGAAGGTTTGGGGGCTAGGTGAGGTACTTGAGGGTATAATTCTCTGGCCAGCCCTTTAAAAGTTCTGAGAAAACTTCACAATAAAAGCATCTAAATGCCAGGCCCATCAGCAAAGAAGGTTAGTGCTACTTTCATTGTCAGAAAAAAAAAAAAAAAAAAAAAAAAAAAAAAAAAAAAAAAGATAAGCAGATGGGGCAATTGAAAGGTTACATCTTTCTTTTGGAGGTGGTTTGCTTTTTAAAGGTTAACTTGAATGCTTGACTTTAAAAAATCAAAATCATCAGCTGCAAACGCTTAAAGCAGTTGGGGGTAGCTTTTGAAGAAGAAAACAAAGGATCTGAAATGTTTGAAAATTACTTAGCCCCCACATAAATGGTGCTTGTATATTTATATGCTTGCTCTATAAATGCACATACACACATACCACAACTCATTTCTCTTCATTTCTCAAATATGATTGCTTGTACTCAGGCATTTTCTGTTGACACAACATAACTTTTTAATAACTTGTTAGCTGTTCTAATCATTTGATATTATTCAGAATACAATGCAATTACAAAACGAACCAGGAAAGCATTCTGCCTAAGTCAGAATCTAGAAACAGGAAACAGGCCATTTGCAGCATCTTCAGCTCCTGCTAAACAGAGTCTAAGAATATATTTTGCTATTCACATTTGTGTATTTCAAAACCTAATAGTCCATGAAAAAAAGTATGAAGAATACATCTCAAGAAGCAAATATTAAAAGTGCCAGCAAAATAATAGACTACATTTAAGTTCGAAGCATTATTTTAGGCCACCTACATCATTAATGACTTTTTCTTTGTGATAGGTGTTGGAAAAGAGAATGCACAGGAGGGTTGCCTTAAATGTTGGCTTCTATTACATTTATTTGCTGTGAGTGAGATTATTCACAAATGCTAACGCACTACTCTTCAAATGTTTTCTTAAAAATTATTTGGCCTTCAAAGTCTAAATAGATATTTGAAATATGAAGTCATTTTGAGGTACACACTTACCCCTAAAATGTATCGTTAAAATATCCTACTTAAATCATATGTCATAGTGTGATATTTAATTATTACACTATGATATTAAAGCAAAAGGGGCATCAGATACATAACAAAAATTAGACACTTATAATTCCAAATTTGAGGTAAACTACACTTAGGAATAGGAATGTTCAAAGAAAAGACGAACTCATCATTTACTATTTTCTTTTAAAAACCAGCGAAATTACAAAAGTACCATTATTACCATGTTTGTCATTATCACACTCATATCAGGTTATCAGACAACCTGATCTCAATGAAAGTGGGAAGGATTATTAATTGCAGTGTTATCTTTTCTAGAGAGAAGAGATTTCTTTATTCCTCTTTCTGTTTTTAACTATTATACTTAATGTCTGGAGTCACTTCAAATGCAACTCTGTTAATCAATTTCAAACTTCCAAACCAACTGGGGCTAGCTTTTGCTTCACAAATTTTTGGAGCTAGCAGCAGTTCCTGCTTAGGTATTCAACTTCCATAAATCTCACTAAACTTTGCAAGGTGGCGCTCTTTTCATGAAAAAGCCAATATTATTGTTATAATCAGAATAACATTTTTAAAAAGTTAAACACCACCCTCCCCAGTGTTTGATGTGCAGCAAAGTCCTTACTCAGCAAATAAGACTTTGTTGACTAACAATGACAAATATAAATAGTAAGACATGAAAAGACAAGTCAACAAAGCATTCTTAAAGAGAACTGAACATTTTTATCTTGTAATTGGCCAATGGTTTAATCTGAAAAATTAATTTCACTTTAAAATAGATGTATCCTAAGGGGTTATTATACTTTGTGGGGTTTTTCCTCTTGTTTTCTTTCTCAGAGTCAAATATGGTCTATGGCTTCCTGAACACATACAGTATATTAAAGAATCAGGTCCACGGCCCTCCTTGCCCAGTGAGGTCAGTTTCTGCCGCCTGCTCTGCACCTCCACACCCTAGCAGCTACAGCCAAGGGCCTGATTTGTGATCTCCGGCTACGTTGTCTGCCTAATGGGGCGATCATGCAAGCTACAACCAGAGACAAAGAAGCCTGCGTTCCTACCAGCGCAGCTAACTTCATGGAAGCAGCATAGCTTGCAAATCTATCAAACTAAACTGCAAGAAAGACAATCTGATTTAGAGAAAAGGCGTTCTGCCACAGTCATTAAGCACAAGTAATTTAGATTTTTTATATTGTCTCCTCATTTACAAATTTACTGTATCAACGCCAACCAATGGAACGAATTTCTTAAGTAAATGAGAAATAAATAAAAGAGATAGAAAGATAATCAAATTACTTAAAATAATCCTCTTCCCTAGATGTATTTTTGAGAGAACTAATAACACTGGCAAAATCATAGGAATAATAACATATCATAGGAAGTAATTAATTTAAATTAGCATCATGTTTGAAGAATATAAGTGAAACGCTTTATGGACATTTACTTTTGTACAAAGAAGGAAGGCCTGGAAAAGCATGCATCGACATCCTGAAAATTAGTTATGGTCATAAACGGTTTAATTGAAGACAGCAATTTAAAATATGATATTGTAAATCTGCAACTCGGTTTCAGCCAGGGGAATTTAATCTACGGGGCAGCGGAACCCTCGGCTGCAAGTTCATTTGCAATGTTGCAGAGCGAGCCCCTGAGCTTCTGACAATTCGTCTACATTAATATTGATGTCGCCTGTGCAATCTATTTCTGTTATTTTTATGGTTGTTATTCTACATCTGCAAAGGTCATTTAAATTATACCGCGACCGAAAATTTGTTTCATAAATTTTGATATAAATACTAATTACACTCTCTCGCAGAGCCAGCAGGGTAGCATTCATTTATCACGTTTATACGACCTGCAATGACAGAAAGGGAAGGCAAGGGAGACTGCAGAGCTTTTCCGGAGACCCTTTAAGACTGGCAGAAGAGGCAGCAGGTTGCTGGTGGGTGAAGAAGAAATTCCTACCACAATCACTGAGATTTAAGAATCTTTAATAAGGTACGAAAGGTTACCAAACAGTTCTGGAAACTAAAGTGTACATACGAGTTCTTCTAACCATAAATATTGAAGAGCTGTAACATGGATAAACCGGCCCTTTACATGCGGATAAATATGGAAACTAGGAATTATATACATTATGTGGTTGTATCTTTTGCCAAAAGTAACGGACAGTTATAGTTTATATCTTTTTTAATATCACTTTACATAAACAAATGGAACAGTTTGACACGCAGATCCAGGCTCGTACTATACGAATTCTTGACAGGACGGGAAACAACATTTTACTGCACTAAAGTACTTAGACTTTTGGACGAAATGTTTGCACTTTATACAAAAAAAGCACATTAATACCAATAATATTCGGTTAGGTCGACGTGGAGACTGTAATCGTACAAAGTAATTCACATTTTGGTACACATTTACTAGAACATTCTTGCCATTCAGTACAAACAGTTGGCTTTCGGCCGCCCACCCCTCCCCTCCCCCCACCCGCCCAGCCCCTCCCCCCTCCCCCAATGCAAAGACCACAACGCCACAATCCCACCCACCCGCTCCAACCGCGATATAACTATTTACAGAATTCAACAGTACAGTTTTAAGCTAATAATTCTGTATTTACAAGAAAACAAAGAAAAAAAAGCTGAAGCCCCAGAGAGCCCGTACGGATCCGACAAGAAACTGGCCCTCGGGGTAGGCGGCATTTGGTCAGGTGGCCTCCTCCCCCTAGACCCCCTACCGCACCTTGGGTACCAAGCCTTCGCCAAAAAAGGAAAAATAATGAAAGCGAAAGGAAATTTTTAAAGGTTGATACTTCCTCTGTTACTCGTCCTGGGTCTATTGGCAGATTTTTTAAAAAGGATTGCGGGGTCTGTGTGGGGGGTTGTTTTGATTCGCAGGGTTCTTTCAGTAATGTTGTGTATACGTGTGTGATCAGTCTCTTAAATAGGGTTTTGTTCGGTGTTTTGTTTCTGATTTTAAACGTACCATTCGTTAAAATTGGAAGAGAGCGCGCTGTGGCCGGCTGTGTGGTGGACTGCGGAGGAGGAGGGAGATAAGGAGCTGGTGGTCGGGTTGTCTGTGGAGGGAGACACGATGGTGGGAGGCGTGGAGGATTCGTAGCCGGAGCTGGCGGCCGGCGAAGGCTGCGAGCCCTGCGAGGAGGATTCGTGGACCTGCAGGAATAAAGTCGCGTTTTTACGGACATAAAGAGCCAGTGTGGCGGCCGCCTAGAGTGGCGACTGCCGCGAGTGCCCTTCCTCCTGGACCTCTTGGAGCCCCCTGAACACAGGCGAGGCCCGATCAGCGGGACCTTGGGCTTGGTGCCCTTTCACAGGCCTGCAGACACCGTGCTCCCGGGAAAGTCAGCGTCCCCAAGACTCACAAAAGAAAAATAGGTCTCGGAAGGGGGAGCGTGGATTTGAGGCTAGAGACTGCACCTTCTTTCCCTGAACTTTGCTTGCCCGTGTTTAGGTGAGCCGGAGCTCAGGCCTGGGCGCAGGAGTCCAACTCTTGAGTCTCACCGGCCAGCAGCAAGGGCCGCAGTTTCGGCAGCGTCAACCCCCAGCAAAAGCCCTAGCTCCGGGCCAAATTCAGTGGCGGCCATTGCTCGTACTCGCCTCTTTTAACTTTTATTGTGAAACCAAGAATTTAAAACGGCCTTGGGCACTCCCATCCCCTTTTCCAGGTCCCGCCCTACCCTCTCTGCCCAGCTCCACTGAGTGGAACCTTTGCCTTCCCGCTTCCTCTGGCTCCCGCCACCGCCTGGCTGCCACTCGCCGCTCGACCCCAAGCCGAGAGCCAAGAGAGCTCCTGCCTCAAAGGGGACGACGAGAGCGCGGCGATTACCTTCATGTGTTTGCGCAGCGAACTGGGATGCGTGTAGGACTTGTCGCACATCTTGCAAAGATAGGGCTTGTCGCTCGTGTGCACGTGCATGTGCTTCTTGCGGTCGCTGCTGTTAGCGAAGCGCCGGTCACAGCCCTCAAACTCGCACTTGAAGGGCTTCTCCCCTGGTGCGAAAGTAGAATGAGAGGGGTCTAATTAGAAAAAAATCCCGCGGCCGTTTTTCAAAAACTAAACAAATGTAAAAAAATAAAATAAAATAAAAAAATAAATAAATAAATAAATAAATAAAGCCAGCAGCCCAGGATTAGCGCTTTTTGCAAGTTTAAAAACCTGGAACGTCAATAAATTCTTATATCTGCAGTTGAATTATAAATATTTTAACTCTATTTTAATCCCTAATACAATTAGATCTACATTTTATTTTTAGGTTTAAAAAAAAAATAGGAGGAGGAGGAGGAGTCAGTTTTTAGCATCAGGTCTGGAAACTCGTATTACCCAGAGTTATATACGCGATTTCGAATTGCTTCCACCTGGCTCCCGATTTCTAGTTTTCACGTTTGCGGCTTATTCTCCTGCCCTATTGCTTTTCTCTCCTCCCCCTGCCCCCTCCCCGACGCTCCGCATCCCCTCGTCGCCTCCTCCAACCCACCCCACTCCCTACATACACTCGCATTTTATAGCGTAATCTGGGCGGTAGAGAACTCAACGCCGCAAATTCTTCCCTGACTCGGGCGTTAAACCCGAAGTCCCAAGCACGGTTCTCAGACCTCACCCGGGAAAATCAGAATAGGAAAGCAGACCCAATTCCTGGCCTCGTGGGGGCAGGGGGCCCAGAATGTTTTGCCTGATGCCAGGCTACAACCCTGAGCTCGCGGGAACTTTTTTTTTTTTTTTTTAACTGTTCCGGACCTGTGTCTTAATTATTTTTAAAGGCCAAAACGGGGAATCCGGTGTTTTGAAAACCACCCTCACGGAGTCTAACAGACAAAAAGGTCTTCCTTGCCTTCCTCGGACTTTCTCCACCCCTCAAGCCCACTCTTAAAACTACTCACTACTAAAACTGAACTCTTCAAATGTGCATAAATCTCCAAAAGTCTCCGTAATCCCAAATTATTTCTTTTCCCCACTCTGTCTCAATTCTTTCTGTCTCTATTTTGTTTCTTTCTACGCCCTTAATCCGGCCTCCTCAATTTCCTCAGCTCATTCCTTTGGCAAAGTCCTCAGTGAAGTGCACGGAGAGAGATGTTGGCAGCAAGCAAGCGTTTAGATTTGTCTGCAGCCTGAGCAGCTGGCGCCTCCGTGGCTGCCCGGAGCCAGCCACTTTCCCCGGCTTCGAAAGCACCAAGGTCTCCGCCAAACCAGGTTTGGCTTCCTGTTCTCCGACCTTTTATGTTTCTCATTTAAACAATCTGTATCCCCAGATCCTTCTCGTCCGCCCTCTGTGTGGAGATATATATATATATATATGATTTTTTTTTCCCGTAATTTCAAGCCCCAAACTAAAAATCAGCGCACAATTTCCCTGCCTGCCTGCCGGAACCTGACGCCCGGGATCCCACCGAGGCTGCGTTTGGGCGACCTGGCCGCTGACTTTCGGTTTGGGTCCCAGGCCCAAGTGGGAATGGGTAGGGGTCCTGCAGCTGTTTCCGTACCTGTGTGCGTCCTTTTGTGGATCTTTAAGTTCTCGGAGCGCGCGAAGACCTTGCCACAGCCAGGGAAGGGGCAGGGAAAGGGCTTCTCCCCCGTGTGCACGCGGATGTGGTTAACCAGTTTGTATTTGGCTTTGAAGGGCTTGCCCTCGCGCGGACACTCCTCCCAGAAGCAGATGTGATTACTCTGCTCCGGGCCACCTACGTGCTCCACGGTGACGTGCGTGACTAGCTCGTGCATGGTGCTAAAAGTTTTGTTGCACGACTTTTTGGGGTTGGCCAGCTGCTCGGGCTCGATCCACTTGCAGATGAGCTCTTGCTTGATGGGTTGGCGCATGTAGCGGAAGAAGGCGCCGGCGCCGTGATGCGCGGCCATGTTCACGTTCATGGGCCCGTAGCCGTGCAGCTGCGGCGCAGCATAGTGCTCGGAACGCGGGCTGGTCACCTGGCCGTACTGCTCCGGTCGCGGGTACATGTCCCCCGAGAAGCCGAGCCTCATCTGCCCGTTGACCACGTTAGGCGACGCGTGGCCGGCAGCCTGCTCGTGAAGCCCTGGGAAGAGGAGGTGGCCCGCGGCGTCCGTGTGGCCGTGTGGGCCCCCGAAGCCCCCGGCCGATGCAGCAAAGAGGCTGTGCTGTGCGCTGGCTGCCGCCGCCGCGTCGCCAAAACCCCGGTTGCGGAACAGAAAGTCCCGCGTGGAGTTGAAGGCTGCGCTGGAATAGGAGCCGACGTGGCCCGGGTGATGGTGATGGCCCAGGGCCGCAGCAGCCGCGTAGCCTGGCGCCTGCGACGTGAAGGCTGTCTGGCCGGCCGAAGCCAGCTCGTGCGAACTAGGGTTGAGCTTGAAGGCGCCCATGCCGTCGGCGAACGGGTTGATGCCCAGGCCCACGTCTCGTTCGGCCACGTCGCCCGCGGAGTGGTGGCGGGACGCGCCAAAGGTGGTCACGCCGATCGCTGGGTACTGGGGGCCGGCGTCCAGGAGCATCGTGGCTGCTCGGGGCGAGCCCCGGCCTCCCCCGCCCCCCCCACCCTCGCCAGCCGAGGAGGGAAAATCGGGAGGAGGAGGAGGAGGAACAAGAGGAGGAGGAAGAAGAAGAAGAAGAGGAGGAGGGAGGGGGAGTCGACCCACCTCGCGAAGTCCTAGCCTGCAGGCAACGGCGCGGCGCGCCCGGGCGTTGGCCCGGCCAAACGCAAAGTAGCCGGACGGCTGCGGGCCGCGAGTAAGACAGGCTCCAGCGCCCGCCAGGCAGACCCTGCCGGCCCGGCTCGCACTTTCTCGCCGCTTAGTCTCTGCCGGGAGGGCCGCGCGTCAAGGCTGCCCGGGGAAAGGCATGGAGCATCTCAGCCCCCCAAAAAAACTTCCTCCTGGATTTGTAGCATAGAGGAATGTGAGCGCCAGAGCCGCGACAGCTTCGCTCTCTCTCCGCCTCGCGCCGCGCGCCCCTCCTCACTTCTCCACTAGCCCCTCGCTCTTTCTTTTCTCTCTCTCTCCTTTCTCTCACGCTCGCCTCCTCGCTCCTTCACTCTCCTTTTTTCCCTCTCTGCTTTTTGCAAAAAAAAAAAAAAAAAAAAAAAAAAGTGGGTGGGGGGAGAAGAAAGAAAGAAAAAGCCAAAGAAAAGGCGCAAATCATGCACAATATTGTCTTTTGCGGTTTATCTTCCTGGGGAGAAACTTTCACCTCCTCAGCCGGGCGGTGAGCGCGAGACTGATAGCAGCAATCATTCCTGCAGATAAATGAATTGAAAGGACGACACGGTCCCCCCCTTGATGAATGGGAGCAGGGGGAGGTGTCACGTGCTGCCGACGCTGGCGCCCATTGGTGCGTTTGCACTCCCCCCGCCCGCAGCTGCCGCGCCAACGGAGGGCGCGCCGAGGCGCCGCGCGCAGCTCATTGGCCCGCCCGCCTCATCAATCCCAGGTATTGTAAAGCGCTTGACATCCCCTTTTGACAAACCAGGGCTGCCAGGAGTAGCAACTTTTTTTTTAGTCAAATTTTTTCCCTCTTCTCACGGAAATTTTTTTTTCTTTTCTTTTCTTTTTTTCTTTTTTCTTTTCTTTTCTTTTTTTTTTCTTTCTTTCTTTTTTTTTTTTTTTTGCCACGATGTCTTTTCCTTCTCACAGTCATATACATTCCTCCTTCTCCCTTGCCCCCACCACCCCCGCGCGGCCCTTCCCAAAACCTGCTCTTCGCTGAGCGATTAGAGATTTCGGACGTCTCCGGGTGCAGGAGGCGGGGATGGGGCTGGTAAACACAGCAAAGGCACTTCCAGAATGTCCCGATTCAGCAACTTTCTTTTCTTTCTTCCCCCTTCCCCCCCGCTTCAAGGGCAGCAAAAGAGGCTTTTGTTATTTGCTCCTTTTGAAGTTTGTTTCCCTCTTGCTTGGTCCCCCTCCTGTTTATAATTTAAGATCTTGGGAGCACACGGGCACTATGCTCTCTTTACAAGAAATGTAATTTCTCAGTGTAACCGGTAGCCTCTGTATTTCTCGCTTTTATCTAATCAGACTTCCTGCACCACCGCACCCCCTCCCAAACACGCACACACACACACACACTCACATTCACACACACAGGTGGATGAACGCTTAAGTTCCCAGGTTATTGAGGTTTGAGTTTTTTAATGGCAAATTTGAAATGTTGTTGTCAGTTTCCTTTACTTTTTCCCCGTCTTGCATTATTTTTCTCTTTTCTCCCTTTCCGTTGTCTCCTTCGACTGCCCCCGCTAACCCTGTCTCTCCTCACTCCTGTTCCCTACTTGGGCCCCTTTCATTCAGGTAAAACTGTAAATTTCCCAATGCGCCATTGTTCCCTTGGGCTGCCCAAAGCTCCCTAGAGATCCCCGAATACTTTTTTGGTATTTAAATCCCCAGTAGATAGGACCAATGTAAATTTTGTGACATTCAAACCTTTTCTAGTTCACAAATCAGTCACCCTTGTCACAGTTATTGAAATTCCGCAACTCGCCACACCAGGACGGTGGAAAAAGCGGGCGCGGTCTTTGTTGCCGACCAGGCTTTTGATCGCCAGAGAAAATTTACTTACCTTCAGATGAGTGAGCAGAAAAAGAAATAACACTCCCTTTGATTTAGTTAGGAAAATGCAGACATTTGGATTCAGTGCAAACATACAACACTCGCTTGTTTTCGCGATGCGGCCCTCGATTAACCTGTCTTTGCCTAGCGCAAAGTCTATTCAACAACTGCGCGTAGTTTCTTTTTGTCCCTTCCACAAAGAGCCATTGACTATATATTAAAATGATTGTTGAAAGGTAGGGGAGTATGGTACTTAAAAGCAGGAAAAAAAAAATCCCTGTGACTCAATCAATTAAGCCGAGCAACATTTATGCATTTCAAAAAATGCACGCGGATGCGGGGGGGTTGTGGGGATGAAGGTTGCATTTCTCCGCAGCTCTGTTTAAAACCCAACAGTCCTGGCCGAGGGTTTAGCTGAAGCGTCTGCATATTCATTAGGTCTAATTATTTTCTAGTAAGGAAAACACAAAAAGCCAAGAGTCGGAATCCTTCAATTTACCCTTTGTTTCTAACTTCATTTGGCTTCTTTGCAGCTGAATCAAAGCCCTAAACTCTTTTTCCAGACAAAGAAACCTCAACTCATCCTTTCACAGGCGGCCCGGTTAGGAAACTCACCAGTGCCCCAGCGAGAGGAAAATGAAAATGAATATATTTTTTGCCCTGACGCCAGCGCTGACTGCACCGGCTGGAGGAAGGCAGGGTCAGCGTCCGCCGCTCCTCGCCTGTCTGGTTTTCTGGTCTTCTCACCGACTAGATTCTCGCTTGGGGCTGGCCGGCCGGACTGCCCTTTCCATGGGCTGTGCTTGCTCACAAGTCGGCTTGGGTATCCGAGATGATTTCCCGGTGCCTGAAGGGACCTGACTGAGCATTTGTGCTTGTGCTGGGAAATAGAAATTCGAGAAAAAAAAAAAAATTGTCCTGTTCCCATCAACAAGTCTGAGTCTAGCAGCCCAGCATTTCCCACCAACTTTGAGTGGAATGGAATGAGGAGTGGAGGTAAGGAAAGGACTGAGGCATTTTCAAAAATTATTATACACTTCGTTAGAAAAAAAAAAAAAAGACATATCGGAGCAACTAAGTCTTTCTACCTACAAGGGGAAGTTGGATCCTACTTCCCCTAGAGTTGAGAAAACCTCATCTGCAAGAAGTTTTCTCTAGAGGCTGTATTCCTCTCACTAGGGAGAACATATATTGAACCCACCTCGTCCGCCTTTCAGGAAACACACGCGCGCGCACACACACACACACAACAAGGGAGGGGACCTAAGGGGGAAGGGTAGCTGTTGGGAGGGGGAGAGGGAAAATAATTCTTCAAAAAAGAAAAGTCAGTCTTCTCCTCTCCAGTCTGTGGAAAATCCAACGGGGACGTTTACAAGAGGATATTTTTAGGAAACACATCCAAATACACAGGGGTAAGAGTGAATGTGAGAAAAAAAAAAAAAAGTTGTGGGTTGTAGAAGTTATCAAGTGGGATTTGCGGCGCTCTCTGCAGGAAACGCGAGCGGCTCCAGTTCAAAGCCACATGCACCAACGTGACATATAAGCCATTAAAATATCATCCTGACGGCTCATTTCTGCTTCATCATACATTCCCTAACTGCTTCCCGAAAGCTGGAAAAGGAGAAATGAAGGATGACCGCCTCGCTGGAACCACAAAAGAGAGGCTTGGAGGGGTTTGTGGTCCCCTCTCAGCCACCCCGAAATGATGTGCAGAAATGAGGCGATCCTGGCAACAGGTGGAGTGGGGTAAGTGCGTGAGTCCAGGGGGCAGACAGATGAGACCTGTACCTCCAGCGACCGGGTAGCAAGTGCCCTCAAGCGGGCCACTGGCACCCAAACCCCAGTGGGGGAAGAGGCCCAGCCAGTCTTTCTGCCCCATCTCCTCCTTCACCCCCCCCCCCACAACCGTGGATACAGGCCCCACCCCACTGACAATGAGGGGAGGAGGGGGGCCCTTCTGCAAAGGGGCAGCGCCGAGGATGAGTCCATCCCTTCTTCCCAGGAGGAGGGAAAAGGGGGAGAAATGGGGCTCCCACTGGTACAGGAACCAGGAGCAGTTTGTTGCCTGCCTGTCTTCCCTTCTCTCCTTGTAAATTGCCTGGGTGCCCCACCGTGGGCACAAGAATGGAAGTCGTGGCCCAGAGCTTCCCTCGCGAAAAATGAACAAGGCGGGTGCCGGGAGGGGGGCTTTACAGGCGGTATCTCTGCTCTGCCCCCAAGGGGATGGCTAGGAGGGTCTCTGCTTCCCCTCTCCAGGGTCAAAGAGCCAAGTTAGCCCAGATGGCAGCAAGACGACGGAACTTCTCCGCCCCAACCTGACGGCAGATGCCGCCTGAGTCACCTCCGGGCGGCTCCTAGCCCTCCCTCATCCTGGTCCTGCCTCAGGAAGCTGACTGCTGGGATCTGCTCTCTGCGCGCGGCCAGCAGTGGGTTCGGGACTTGGCTTTCTTTATCTCCAGTGCGATCAAGAGCAGCAACTAGCTCTCTGGGGAGCAGGCCGCAGCTCCTAGGATTCTGGCCCCTAGCCTAGGCCCAGGGACATTGGAAATTAGGGGCAAGTGAGGAGGAAACAGAGCTGAGCTGTGAAAGAAAGCTAGGACTGGCTCAAAGGTTGGACCTGAAAGTTGGGGCTGATGGATGGCCCATGGCAAAGTCTTAGGAAAGCGGGGGGGCTTTGGAGGGTTGCACTTCGACCGTCACCGTCTTCAGGAAACTCTCTTTGGATTCCAAGGTTATGTTTTCCCCGCTTTCCGACAGTATTGGCCTGGCAGCGACCCACACCACTGCACGCCGCTCTTTTTTCTCCTCTTACCCGCCTGCAGGTTGGGGGAGGGGTGATTCAAAAGGAGGGCGAAATGCCAAGCCTGATCCTGCAGGTGATCTACTGATGCAAACTCTATTCTGGGCACCCGGAGGCTGCCCACACTTACTTCAGCCCCGAGCTGGGAAACCCAAGCTTCTCCCTCTAGAGAATAGGAGAATGAGTAAAAGCCCCTGCACAATCCAGTCTCAGCAAACTCCTGGCCCTTGAGGGTCGAATGGAGGGAAGCCAGGAAGGTGCGGGGTGCAGATGGGGAAATCAGGCAGCGGGCAAAGGCCGAGGTCAGGTTCCTCTCTGGCTCGGAGCTCCCAGCCAGCTTTCAGGGTTTTTGCTCTGCGCCCGCCAGCGACAAGTTACAGCGGAGAGGTGGGCATGCCTTTCCCGCTGCCGGCTAATCAGTAAGCAGCAGCTCGGGAACTGAAGTCTCTAACTGCAGCTGACCTCTGACCTTGGGTAGTCCTGCGCCGGCTAGGTCGGCCCCACAACTTGCAGCTTCCGAGGCTCCCCCAAATAAAAATGGTGCTTTTTGCACCTACCCACTGTCCCACCTTTTTGGCTCTCCTCCGGCACTATCAATCACTGGAGCTCCCTGGCACCAGTTCCTCTTCTCAAGGTGGGGGCAGAAGGGCAGATTCCAAAAAGTCTCCAGGATGTGCTATGGACTGGTAATTAGGAGGCCGTGGTTGAGGTGGGGAGCAAGCCTTTGGGGAAAACGAAACTGAGTTTCTACATGCCGTGGTTATTTGAGACCTCAGGTCCAGGGGCCTCAGGATTGCTCCCAAATTTTCTCACCTCTCCTTCAGCAAGATGACTGGCTTGTTTGCTAAGCGGTGTCAGAGTTTGCACGAAAGGAGATGTTTACCCTGGTTCCCTGTGTAGGCTGGGTGATGGAAATGCTACAGAGAGACTCCTAAGGTCCCAGTTGCCTGCCCTAGCCCGACCTCTGCAACATTTGTTTGCGTGTCTATGGGTCTGCAGTGCACAAAAGGCTGACAAGACCTGGAGCAGAAGTGATCCATACCTCTTAGAAGTTGGGTTGGAGCAGCCTTATGGGTGGACAGAGATCTCTAGGGAACCTCACACCCATTTCCCCCAGAAGCAAAAGAGTAAATTCTATTGTTGCCAACCAACCAGGACTTCTCCATGCCAGACATCCTGCCATGAGGAAATTTCAGAGCGAGGACGCCCAGCATGCCGCCCTTCTGTAGGAATGCAAAGTTAGGCCTCCTTTCTTTCCTGATTTGCACTGGAAGGAGCTTATTACCTTTGGGGAAGAATGCCTTTTGGTTAGAAATAATTGAAAATAATAATACCCTGTGGGAAAAGGTGAGTCTACCCCCCTGCCTCCCAGGCCTGGACCTAGAAAAGAGGGGAGATAGAAAGGTAAAAGCTGCCAAGCTAGTTGGAATTCTTGTTGGAGGTTGAGGGGGAGAGAGAGAGAGAGATCTTTGTGCACAGAGAACTGGATACCCTTTAAGATAACAGAGTCCCACTTGGATTTGGCCCGTGGTTCAACAAGTTAAACAACTGCTTGTTCTGTGGGCAGACATCCCCATTGACAGAGGACTTGCTGTGTTTGTCCAGCCTGAGACCTTTTCAATGACTGTTTTTCTTTCTAGGCCAAATTGAGGGTGGGGGCCGGGTAGATGCTTCTGTTTGGCTGCTCAACTGCCTCAGCCTTGCCTGACAGGATGCAGAGGTCCTCAGGATGGCTTTAAATATTTAAGGCGGCCAATGGCTTGGTAGTTTTAACTGCAAAGTGAATCTGATAAGTAATGTGTGCATCTTATGGGAGGTGTTATTTCTACCCTTCTCAAATATGAAATGTGGATGATTTGAACCAAATGATTAAAATTATACCTTTTTAATCTGACAAATTTTATATTAACTTTAAAAAGTCAACCGGTGATGAATCCCAAATGGGTCTGGGGTGTGGGAAATGTGAGGCTAAGGAATTCTGCACCACCACAGGCAAAGCAGGATTTGAAAACCTGCAAAGAAATTCCTCTCTTCTTGGTTCCAACAGTTATAAATCAAATTTTAACTGCTAACCTCTCAGAGTTCAGTAGACTCTCCCCACCACACCTCACTAAATTTCAGTTAATAAACTTCAGAAAAATAATAAGATTTCTTATACAATTAATTCAAATTCGAAAAGCTACAGATTTTTGAGCACTGACTAAAAGAGAGCTTACTTCTGATTGCAAGGCAGAACAACAAAGGAGTTTCAAATAAAAACCTAGCTGGGAAATTATAATTTTTCAATGTTTTTATCACCAAAGATATATAATTTTGCAAAATGGGCAGTTCCCGGCAGAATCCTTTTCTTTAGCTTCAAAATTTGAAAATGATCAAAGAAAGACCGAAGGATCTTCAGATCAACACCTTCTTTCGTTCATACATTCAAGCCACAGAATGTTGCCACACAGATGTATAAAATTGTTTAACTAGTGACTGTCACTCTTTTCTTCCCAAACAGGCTCAAAGTCAGAAAATGAGATACAAGACATCCTTGGTGATGAGGAAACGATTACGGCTTTACCGAAACACTCTGAAAGAGTCAAGTAAGTTAAAATCCTCCTTTGAATATTGGTTTGCTAGTTTCTTTTCTTCTTCTTTCTTTTCTTTTCTTTTTTTTTTTTTTTTAAGTAGGAAGTTTTGTTTTGTCTTTCGTTTATGTTGGGTTGAGAGTTTGGGTGGAGTTTCTTGAGTTCAAATGAAACTTAGAACACCTTGGTGTTCAATACATTTGCACACAAATCAATGACACAACGTCCCACCAGCAGCCGGCTAATCCCCCTCAATGCCTACTCATCTGGACGTTCCAGAATTAATATTTGACGATTCTCTCATTGAAACTACCACCCCTGACCTTCTGCAATTCCACTGTCACGTTATTCTATGACATATTCATCTTGAATTCATTTCCAGACAATTTGATTGGAATGAGGTTTGACATGTATTGGCTTCCATGAAAGAAGCAGACTTTGATCTGGATGATGGGGTTTACATGATATACATCATCTTTACCAGGGATACCAGCCTTGTGCAATGTGGTAGCGACGAGGTTCCCACAATGTGGTGTCTGACCAGGGAGTGACTGACAGCTGCTCTGTCAGGAATACCTTCATTGTGAAGAATTTAATTTAATATTCCATTTAGAATAAGCATATGATTTAGGGTTGGGTGTTTTCCCTTCCAGGCGTCTAGTTTTCCTCATTTCAACTATATCACTAGCTGATGGTTGCCTCCAAAGATGTTCCCTCATTGGTAGGCAAAGGAACCTTCTTAACCAAAGTCAAATAGACAACTCAGGAAATGGCTGTCTATATTATTTGGGGATGATTTGATGGCAAAAGTCTCAAGAGAGGTATGAATTATTATGTAAATTCAGTTATTTCGATTCCTTAATGCTGTTTTGGAAGGTCCAAAAGCAATGTTTCCTAAGCTTTTGTCACAGGATGCTTTGTAGAATCCTTGCTTGGAAATTAAAGCCAATCCAAGCATATTTTCTTCCATACTCAGTTCCATTAATGATGTTTAAAACTCAAATTTCCATAGCAGAGGAGAAGAATATCCTCCTTTATTGCCAAAATCCTAATAGATCTCATCTCCTTTGCACAATTTGGGCTTAGAAATATGGATGGGCTCCTAGGGCTTACGTTATTTCTTTGCATAAAAATAGAGACAGCCTCCCTCTGTAGGAATCTTGAAGTCTGTCTGTGACTAGCCTTTAAAGAAATTTACCTCTGTTTAGGATTGCAACTGGACAGAAACAGGGAAGAAAGAACTGAACAAGTGACAATTGATTCAGATGCAGAACATTTAAATGACAAGACTTGTTTCTAGCCAGGTTCTATACAGTGGCCCTCAAATGAGTAGGGCCCAGCTGCTGATCTGGGCATAACTTACAACTAATAATCATCATTTAATTTAGCATTGCTTAAAACATTAAAATGGAAAAATAGCCGAGCTGTTGATTTGAAATATCCTCCTTTTTTTTTTTTTTTTTTCCTTTGCAAGAGAGTGAGATCAGACATTCAAACCAGCGATTTAAGGAGCTCTGGCAGATGCTAGGGCCACCAAATGTTCTATTTCTAGAAAGTAGAACTAGGAAATCACTTGTTTATGCCATTATATTTGTCTGGGTAGGGTGAGCAAAAGTGCTTAGGGCATGATTCTGGGCACTGGTTTGCAGAGGCTCTGAAGACTGAGAGACATTTGGGGTCTAGTGATGCAATACGCTCCAAATAGGTCCCCATGAAAACAAGCTCCCAGTGCTTCATTTTGACATCTGCTAAAGATCTGTGGGTTGTGAGATATTCTTTTTCTCTACAAATGAAGCAGAAAAGTAGACTTAACAATGCTATAGCTCCAGGCATGGGTAGGAATAGAATGTGTCAGTCAAGCATTTGGTGTTGGGGACATGTATAGTGAGATATTTCTGGAAAAAAAAAATTCTGAAGACCATTGAGGAGACACCATTCCTTAGCCTGCTCAATTGATAATATCTGTAGTCTGGGTTCCCTGCTTCCCAGGCTCTGGAAGACTCAAAATAATCTCTCTAAAGACTACACTCTGCCTCTCAGATGTTGATGCCCTATCACCTTTAACTGGATACTGCTTTGGGGCTTATTTCAAAGATAGACCTTGAAGACCCCTATGTAATTGCCCAAAGTTCCTTGTCTGTAAATATTAGTTGTACAATTGGTTTTCCCTTATTGCTGTCTCTGGGGAAATGCCCTTCTAGGAGAATGTCTGGTCCCGTTGCTGGGTTTAGCCAACCAAGATATAGACCATATGCCTCTAAGGAACTTCCAAAGATCAGGCAACCTCAGTGACCTGCAGGCCTACTGACCCCTGGCTACTCAAGCAAGAAGCAGCTACCCAAAATAGGTCCAGATGTTTTCAGCTTTCAAGAGAAAGCTGCATCTGGGAAGGAGCTCCATGGGGCCAGCCTACTCTCCATGATTTTGGCTGAATCAGATATGTTTGCCCTTTTGCTGCTGGCACAAAAAAGTCATACACAAGTTCAAAGCTTTTCAAAGGCAAAGTGACTAACAGAGAGTGTGTAGTATGCTAGCAGACTATGTGTATAAAACCTCTGTTTCTTATCCCTGGAGTCCAGAGAGTCAGTGGTTAGAACTCCAGAGGGCCCATAAACTTGAATGAGAAAAAAACGCATCTTTATTTTCACAACCTTCTATTAGAAAGTTAGTGTTTTCTTCTATGATGAATATGTGCAGCAAATACTGGACTATTAGGAGTTCAACAGACTCACCAAGCTTCCTAAGGGTTCCACAGCCTCAAACAACCAAAATCCCTTCTTCTCCTGTCTGTCCATACTGTTATTCAAAGCTTTTGATGGAGGTGGGGTCACAGTGTATATATTAAGAAATCCGGTGGGTGCAGTGGCTCACACCTGTAATCCCAGCACTTTGGGAGGCCGAAGCGGGCAAATCACCTGAGGTCAAGAGTTCAAGACCAGCCTGGCTAACATAGTGAAACCCCGTGTCTACTAAAAATACAAAAATTAGCTGGGCATGATGTTGGGCGCCTGTAATCCCAGCTACTTGGGAGGCTGAGGTGGAATAATCACTTGAACCTGGGAGGCAGAGGTTACAGTGAGCTGAGATCATGCCATTGCACTGCAGCCTGGGTGACAGAGCGAGACTCTCTCTAAAAAAAAAGAAAGAAAGAAAGAAAAAAATCCATGTTTGTGCAAATCAGAGTCTTAAAGCTAAAGTGAATGAGTTTGACAAACATTCTGAACTGTTAGTTGTAGATTACCTAGGTTCCAGGGAAGAAAAAATATTTTAATTGCCAGACAATTGCAGAAGTGCCCCTGCACTTAAACCTAAATACCACAGAAGCTGAATACTTTCGGTGTTAAGATGTGGATAGTAAAAACAGCTGGGCAAGGGGTTTCAGAGAAGAACGCACTCTGGCTTTTGTTTTGCTTTTCGGAGCCCTTCATGGGTTCAGTCCAGAGTTGCCTAGACAATTGCATCATTCAACATACACCTGTGAGGTGGGGAGATGTGAAATGACTCATTGAGATGTGGAAACCTTTCGCTGGAAACCTGGCCACACCACTGCTTGGATGAAGGGAAGACAGGGGAAGGATCAGAGACTTGGTGGCTGTTGGTGGAGGAGTAAACCGTGGGAGAAGGTGAAAGCCAGGGAGGCATATCCTGAGAGTCTGGTCTCAAAACTGCTGTGTGGAAGCCCTTGGTTTTGAGAGTAGGGAGTGGGGGTCTGGCAGTCAAATACTCTTCTGTTTTTTGTTTTGTTTTGTTTTTAATACTGACAGAGTATCTATTGGTAGAGTTATCCAAGCTCTTCCTGTAGGAGGAGCAGAAAGACTTGGACGTGTCTAAGTGGAGAGAAATTGTTGTGGAAGTTAATCCCTCCCTAAAGTGCACCCAGGGGAGGAACAATGTATTAAATGAAGGTCTCAAAGAATCTGCCAACTGTTATACATCAGTTAATTATTTAAAAAAAGAAATTTTTTTTAACCCTTATTTACCGACCAGGAAATGTAAAAGAATAGTCCTTGGTGCTGGGGATAGGGGGAGGGGCAATTCATTCCATTTATATTCAGCGTTGCTGGTAATCTGCCGGAACTTCTAGCCTCTGCTAAGGGGTATGGGATATTTTACTCAATCTTTAAAACTTTTCTTAAAAATACAAGCCTTTCTCTGTTTGGGGGGCACTATTTATGGCCGCCAGGGAAGTCCAAGCACTTAGACTGGCATTTTCGGCTGCAGCGACAAGGTAGGAGTCCTGGCCAGCAGCCCTTTAAATCCCCGGACGACGCAGCTGATCTTAGCCGGTCCGCTCAGACAAAGGACACCCTCCTGCCCCCAAAGCCCCCCAATCCCCCGCCTCTCGGCTTTTGCCACACTCGACTGGGCCAGAACTTAAGTTTTTTTCAACCGATCGACCCCCGTCGCACCAAAGTGGCCCCCCTAACACTGGAGGGCATCTTGTGGGAGGCAGCCTGCCGGCCCTCTCAGAGCCTGGACGGGGAAACGCGGCGTGCACTCTCTAAAGAGGCCTAACACGAGCTAGGAGGAAGCAGAGGCAGCTTGGACCGCAGGCAACAAGTAGCCGAAGCTGAAAGTGGAAGTCACCCTTAAATCCCCTTTCCCAGAGGCTCCTTACGACGGCAGGGTATAGCGCTCAGCATCCCTGATTGGCCCAGGGAGATTCCGGAGCGAAAACCTGTTTCTCCTGGATGCACGCCAGACTCCTTTGTTTCTTTGGAAAGCCGGCCCGCCGGTGGGTGTGACTTGTGGCGGGGCGGGTCCTTTCAGGAAGGCATGGGTTCGAGCCCAGCCTTTCCAGGCTGTCACCACTTCCCGCTTAATCCTGTCCCTGGTAAGGGGCAGATCCTTGGGTATCGCGCGTCTTTGAGCTCTCCAACACCGGGGAGGAGGGGCCTGCAAGGCTAAATGGGAAGAGAGTATAGAGGAAAGAGAGGGGGAGGGGAGAAGCAAGGAAGACGAAGTGAGGTAGAGGGTTTGGGGAAAATAAGAGAGACGAAAAGAACCCGAAAGATGAGGGAAACGAGACATTTCGGAGAAAGCCAAAAAATAAAATTAGGCTCAACGACTGCTAGCCTAGGAGTTTCTCAGCTCCTGTTCCCCGAGTCAGCAGTTTCCTTTGGTCCTTCGATCCCGACCCCCTCCTCTTGCAGTCTACAGGGACAAACTGCCCAACCAGACCGCCATCTCTGCGCACACTATGCTAGCCATCAGCCCCGACTGAGGTCCCGAGAGGACTTTAGGCGCAGCGCAATGCTCCCTCCCCAAAGTTGTGGTGAAGGGTGGCATAACCCAGTCCCGAGTACTTCCAGGAGCCCTGAGTCAAAACTGATGCACTCAGCTTTCCGGAGAGGAGGGGGAGGAGGCTCAAGGGGAGAGAAAAGGATTTGTGCCCAGGTCAGAGCGCATGAGCAGTAGAAGCGTGAGATGCTGTGGGGGTGGGGTGAGGGAGGGAAGGAGGGTGTGTGTTTGAGGGAGAGGTGTGTGAGGGGGTTGGGGGTGGAGCGAGGAAGTGAGAGAGAGAGAGAGAGAGACCGTCCGCGTGCGGCAGGACCTGTCATCACTGACGTAGGACCCGGCCGCTGGCCAATGGGCGACCCAGGCAATTGTTCCTCTCTGTGGGTCCCGGCCACAGCCCTGAATCTCTATTGACTTCCTAACGCGCCCTGCTGCTACTTCTGTAGTGTGCAGGATTTCGCGTAGGCATTAATAGCCAAGGGGGTAGGCGCGCCCAAATCCAAACCTTGAGAAGAAGGAGAGAAAGAAAGAAAGGGAAAAAAAAACTTTACAGAAGTTTTTTGTGTGGTTTTCCTTTCCCCTCCCCACTGTCAGGTGGCAGTGGTGTTAGTGGCCCGGTACAGGGAGCTCCGGGGAACCTGGGCCGGCATGCAGCCGGTCGCTTTCTCCTAGCCAAGCGGGGCACTGAAAATATATATGGCTGGGGCGCTTCCGAACCACCACCACCTCCAACACCATCATTTCTATCACCTCCACTCCCCGGCAGGGCACCGTGCCCCGGAGCGCCCCGGGGTGTTGGCTGCCAAAGTGCGCTTAGGGCTCAGGTCCTACCCCTCTGGAGCAGAACCCCCAGCAACCCACAGACTCAGCCCTGCGCCTTCCATTACCCCTTACATCTACTGTGCGGCTACCATCCCTTTCCAGCTCATGGCACCGCAGGTGACCTGGCCGAACAGCAATCCGGTCCAACGGCAGCGGAGGTGTTTGGCCTTGCTCTGTCCACCGGGTTCACTGCTGGCGCGGTCTGGCTCTGAGTTCCACGGCTGACTGCAGAGTCCGTAGTGCGTCTGGGCTGGGCCTGCCCCCCGGGGCCCAGGGAAGAGCGCGCAGCCCACCCCACCGGTTCTCATGCGTGCTATTTGTTTCGACAACAGGTAGCAGCTCTGGACACCATGGCCCCCAGCTCGCCGCCGCCTCCAGCCCCTCGGTGTTCCCGACCCTCCATGAGGAGCCTCCCCAGGCCTCCCACAGCCATCCTTTGAATGGACTCCTGCGTCTGGGGCTCCCTGGAGACATGTACTCGCGGCCAGAACCCTTCCCGCCAGGGCCTGCGGCCCGCAGCGACGCCCTGGCAGCTGCCGCAGCTCTGCATGGCTACGGGGGCATGAACCTGACGGTGAACCTCGCTGCGCCCCACGGTCCTGGCGCTTTCTTCCGCTACATGCGCCAGCCCATCAAACAGGAGCTCATCTGCAAGTGGCTGGCGGCCGACGGCACCGCGCCCCCGAGCCTCTGCTCCAAAACTTTCAGCACCATGCACGAGCTGGTCACGCACGTCACCGTGGAGCACGTCGGCGGCCCGGAACAGGCCAACCACATTTGCTTCTGGGAGGAGTGTCCGCGCCAGGGCAAGCCCTTCAAAGCCAAATACAAACTTGTAAATCACATCCGCGTGCACACGGGCGAGAAGCCCTTCCCTTGTCCTTTCCCGGGGTGTGGGAAGGTCTTTGCTAGATCAGAAAATCTCAAAATACACAAACGAACTCACACAGGTCAGTATTCGGCGCTGTCTGTCGCGTGCGGACCCTCTGGGGAAGCAGGCCCTCGGGTCTGGATTTCCTCAAGTCCCAACTGAGGGGAGGGGGAAGATATTTCGGTGTTGTTACCATGAGCCAAGGCCATAAAATATTAATTATGCGCTTCTATTCTTAGAATCACAGAAGTTTCCGGAGGCTGTGTGTAGGGAGGATAGTGCGGGATTTCCGTTCTGGGGGGACAAGGGTGAACGTGCCTAAGACCCTGTGTGTGCAGACATGTGATCTCTGCTTAAGAGTTTGATTTTGAGATATTTAAAAACAGCATTGTTCCCCAAAGTCGTAAAGACATAAGAACAGCTGTCTAACTTTTTTCCTGGTCCCTTTGGAATTGCGGGGCAGAACTCTTCCACCTGTCCTCCTGATAACCTGGCCCACCTGGTCTGAGGGTTTACCAGGCCCTGGAGCCTTCTTTAGGAGTTGGGAGTCGAATGGGCTAACTTTGTACCTATTTTTGAGCCTAGGTGGCCAGACACTAGGGATGTTTGGTGAACCCTCACTTTTGCTTTAGCACAGACCTAACGGGACCTAGCCACCTTAAATATCATTTACCAAGTTGTTAAGGGAAATGGGGACATGTGTCAACTACATCTGCTATTTCTAGTTAACAGAAAAAAAGGAGTCCCGTTTAAGAGCCTGCAAAATTGAACTCCTCTGGCCAGAGCATCTCTAATTAATGCAACTGCAAGGAGAAAGTTTTCACACTTCCAGGATAGCCTGTGAAGTTACATTAATTAGTTTAGCAGCCATTGTTTGTACTCTCCTTAGTTAGGGTTTTCTCGCTCCTCCTCCCTGGAAGTTTAAGAAATCAACATCTTCTCCCCTCCCCCATTTTGGGGGCAGGAGAAGGGGACTAGTGGGGACAGGAGAAAATAAAATAAATTCCAGCTTGGTGCCCCACTTCTCCTACTGCCCGGTGCCTTGCCTTACTCGCCCCTATTCTTGCTGGAACATCGACAATTGCTGGAGTCAAAGAACTGACTAAGGCTAGTTGTGCTAAAGCCTATCTTCTCCCCAAACTCTCCCTTCCCGGGGAAGGTCCATGGCCCGGACACTGGCACACGCGGAGACCAGACCAAAGTCCACTTGGAACCTGGCACTTTATTTCTAAAGCGTGTCTGGAAGTGTACAGTTTCCCTGAGCTCTTTTCAGGGTTTCCCACAATGTCGCAAGGATCTCACCCCCTCACCCGAAGTTTTAGCTCCGGGAAGGGGCGGTAGGTCACTCTCGAATCCTGGTCCCAGGCCTGCTACTCCGGGAGCTGGCGGCGGACACCCGGAAGGTAGATTCGCAGTCCTGAGCTGGAGAAGGAACTCATCTTTAATGGCAGAGTTGTTGTTTTTTAAAACAAACAAACTTTTACAGCTCTTTGCCGGCCCACTGTTTGAAGTCTGTGAAGCAGAAAATGGTTAAATTCTTAGCACAGTCGACCTACAGCAGAGAAGCAAGTTCAGTGCGCCCGCGGCTGGCTCAGGTTTTCGTCTTTTCAGGACAGAATTTTGTGCGTTCTTTCGGATCCCCTGATTCATTCCCGGTGGGGGTGGTGGTGGGGAGAACAACAACAACAAACAAACAAAAACACACACTATCAACAACAAACTACAGAGTCTGGCCTGCTCGGGCATTTCCCTCAAATCCGCCTCCTAAGTAATAAAAAGAGGAGAGAGAGAGTGAGATAGAGAGAGAGAGAGAAAAAAATGTTTCTCAAATGGCAATAGACCTCAGTACAAATTATTCATGAAGACAGTTCTCGATTCAACAGGAAAATAATTGCCTTTTCAAATATTAATGGCGTTTCATTTCCTCGAGTCGCGGAAGTGGCAAACAGGAGCAAATTTCTCAGGAGTTGAGATTCTCCCTGACCTGAATCCCGGGCCTGGCTTTGAAGGCGACTGTCCGCACCGAAAGCATTCACTTTGCGGCGGTCACAGCGATCCCGGAACAATGGTGCCTCGAGGAGGGAGGCGAGGGCCAGCTACCGCGGTCTGCCTGGCCACCGCCACCCAGCTTCTCTCCTGGGACCCCTCGGCCGGGGCCGGGAGCTCGTCACACCTTCCCCGGCCTCTGAGGGCGAGTCAGTGCTGGGGATCCGAGGTAGAGGAGAAGAGACCGCGCCGGGGCGCAGTCGCCGGGACAACCAGATCCAGCCACAAGTGCGAGAAAATGGCGCTGGCCCAGCTGCCCCGAGCTTCCGAACTTTGTCCCGCGGACCCGGCGCAGGGTCGGAGAGGAGGCCTTTCCGGGCTGCGGAGCCTCTGGGATGACAATCTGGGTCTCTCACAGCTCAGCCCCAGGCCTAGGACGCTCCGAGCGGGCTGCAGGGGCCTAGCCCAACGCTGCCTCTTCACATTCACCCACCCACCCAGGGCGCGGTGCAGGGAGCTGGAGGGAGGGGGAAGGACTGGAGGCCGGGAGTTGGCGGGGGGCGGGGGTGATGTCAAGCGCGGAGACCAGGGCGCCTCCTGCAGCTCCGGAGCAAGCTGGGGCGCAGCCTCACCTGGCCTCCAAGGGGCCTGCGAACTTCCCGGCTGCCGGTATCATTCATTGCACTGCTGTTTTCTCCTCTGCTCCTCGTCTGGAGCGAAATAATTGTTTTTGTTTTACGTGAATGTCCAGCGAGGCGCTCACGAGATCGGATAAGCGTTTGGCGGGATTTTTGTGGCGCGGGGGCGGGAAGGGGTTGTTGGGGAGGGGCACCAACCTCAAATTCCATTTCACCTCTGTTTTCTCAAACTAACCTTGGTTTCTTTTGCAGGCCCTGAATTGTACGGTTTTTTTTGTAAGGTTTTTTTTTTTTTTTTTTTGAAAGAGAAGGAAGAAAGTTTGGGTTTGCAAATGCTGGCAGGAATCAGAGGAGATAAAACGAGGGGCAAATAGGAACACTGATTTATTCCGCATCTTTCTCTCACTGTTTTATAAAATGGTGCCGGTGTTCCGCTAAATGGCAGGTGCCAACACCTTCCAGAGGGTTCAGTGTACTAATTGTGCTCCTGTAGGGTGGGAATCCAGCAACCGGGTGGTGCCGGAGACCCGGGCTCAGGAGGCGCTGATTGCGCAGAAGTGCGGATTGTGCGCAAACCTCTCTGTCCGAGCCTCCACAGGGCTCGGGAATTGGGGCTTTGTTTGTTCTAACCAGCCCCAGGAAAGCGCCTGTCTTTCCTGGATGCGGCGGGAGAAGCAACTACAAAGACAGCAGTTCTCCAACTGTGCGTCTTCCTCCTTAGCTAGACGCTAGGTAGCCGGTCCCTTAACTCAGAGCGCTGGGAGGCAGCCATTTGTTTAAAGCGCCCAGGAACCTTCTTCCCCCATTTCCGCAGCACTTGCAGCTCCGGCAGGAATCTAGGCTTCCGGATTCTCGGGATCCTTTCCTCTCCCACACGTCAGCGAGTTCAGGTGGCCGTGAGCTCCCCGATTGGGGCTCAGTCCGGCCAATATTATCACTCTAACGTGCACTCGCGCCTTCCCTCGGCTCTACAGGGCATCGCAGCCACCGATCCCAGCCCCTCCCGGGCCTATCCCAGCCACCCGGTCGCCCTCCAGTCTGCAGAGCCGGGCCTGCCCTGACAGCTGCAGCTGTTCTCTTCCCGAAGCCTCAGCGCTCAAGGGCGTGGTTGCGATAGAGACCTCGGATCCCACTCGGCCTGTGCGGACCCTACTGCGCCAACCCCTCGTCTTAGGCCCGAGAGACCCGACAGCCAGGTGGGGGTGGTCTAGGGAGACTGGTCGACATCGCAAGTCAGTTCGGACTGGGAGGGCCAGCTGCCCACAGCAAGGTCTCCGGGAGGCCTCTGGAGCAGCGTAATAAAATATTATTGCTGGCGAGCGTATCTGGAGGGATCCCGGACGGTTTAGGCAATATTTGAAGAATGCTGCTAAATGTTTGCCCTCGGGGGGTAGAAGGGAAGAGGGAGGGGGCTCCACATCCTGTAAAAATCTCCTCTGAAGTGAATCATTGCTCAGAATACCTTTCCCTGCAGCACGAATCCACTTTATGCACACATCATGTGCATCGGCTGAGCATCCTTAAATTATTTCATCGCTTTGGCGTTTGCGCAAAACCTACTTTAGTAAACAATTTGGGCCAGGATGGGAGTTGGGAGTGGGGGGGAGATGAACGGCTGGGCAGGGTAGGGGCAGAGACGTTTGGCTGAAACAGCAACTTTAAATCGAGCAGATGTGAGCTTCCCCGTTAACTATATTGTGAGCTCCTCCGTTAATGTATTTCCAAACAGAGGTGCTTCTGGTTCCAAGTGGAGAAAATTTGGAGGAAACAATCAGAGTGGATCAGGATTTTCGAGGATGAAAACTCGACTAAGATGGAGTCACTGTCGCTCCTCCTCCCTACCCTCCCCCTGAGCCCAGACCAGGAAGGCGGGAGGGATGGAGGCGCTCAGGAGAGTGCATCGGGGGCGCTCTCTGCACGAGGGAAAGGGGTGCTCGACTTGAGCACCTGGAAAGAGATTTCTGAAAATCTTTTGTAGTTCTTTTCCAGAAAATGAGAGACGAATTGGGGGGAGAGGGAGGGTGGCGAGCACTAATGTCTCTGCGTTGCCTCCGCCAGGCGAGAAGCCCTTCAGATGCGAGTTCGAGGGTTGTGAGCGGCGCTTCGCCAACAGCAGCGACCGCAAGAAGCATTCGCACGTGCACACTAGCGACAAGCCATACACGTGCAAGGTGCGGGGCTGCGACAAGTGCTACACGCACCCCAGCTCGCTGCGTAAGCACATGAAGGTGCACGGGCGCTCGCCGCCGCCCAGCTCTGGCTACGATTCGGCTACACCGTCTGCCCTCGTGTCGCCCTCGTCAGACTGCGGCCACGAGTCCCAGGTGGCCTCCTCGGCGGCGGTGGCGGCGCGTAGTGCCGACTTGAGCGAATGGTATGTGTGTCAGGGCTTGGGCCCCACCGCGGCTGCCCCCGCCGCGATCCTCAGCCAAGAGCTACCACCTGGCCCTGCTGCTGCCGCCGCCGCCGCCTCCGGTATTAGGGCTGCCTCTGTGGTTGTTGCTTCCGCACACACCGGATGCAGAGTAGGCCACGTTTCTGAGGCATGAAGAGGGAGAGGGCGGAAGGAAGGAAGGCAGGCCGGCCACCTGTAATAGTTGCTAGAGCTCACTGAATACGCTAATATAATGTCCATTATTTTAAAAGATAAAAATGGTCTCCCTATTTATTCTATAGTCACACTCAGCACCATCACCCCTACACGCGCCTTCATGATTATCATAAAGCCAGTGTTAGGGGTGAAAAGATAGGGAGATGGGAAAAAAATGGAGAATTTAGGTGCAATCCTGGCCACTTCAGATGACAAAAGTAAAGCCACAAATTTCCCGCATGCTTCGCAGGATGGGAAATATTTTTCTCGAGAACTGGGCCTCTCCCACCCCCACTCTAATACTTCCCTCCCCCACATTAATTCCAACCTCAGAAGTTCAGATCAACAGAAGGCGGCAAAGGGAATTCCAGAGCCGTTTTCTTGACTCCAGTTTCTTTCCTCTTTGCCTTCCTATGGTTTCCCCTTCCCTAGGTATCCTTTGAAACAAAGTATACACAAGTCTTAATTTTTCCGACCTCCTCTATAAAGGAGATAAGGGAGATTCATTGTCTTTTCAGCAGGGGGTGTGTGGGTGGTGGTTACACGCTGCCACCCCTATGTAGTGGCCTGGGCACACAGATAGATATCTGCCTGTCGTCCACAGACTCGATATACATTGTATACTTGGGGTGGCGAGTCAATTCAAAACAACAAGAAATACAGACAAAGGAACGCCAGAGAGGCTTCAGGATTCAATGCTGTGAGGCCTCCCCGGGCCCTTTTCCCACCCCAGCCCCTGTAGAGGCGTTGCCTGTGAAGTCTTCTAGGTTCTTGGGCTCCGGGTGTAGAGCGAGCTGATGACGTCACTGAGTCGAGGCCTCTAAAGTGGAGGGACCTGACCTAGGCGGCCGTGTCTGGGTGAATCGCGTCAATTCGGTGACGGTCTTTGTCAGTAATTGCACAATGTTGGTTTTATTTTTTAAAAAGTGTAGGAGAGACTAGAGAAATGATCAACAATAATAAATATTGTAAAGGCAAACAAACCAGCGAGTCTAGATGGAATGTGTATTTGATATGCTGCGTATGAAGTCTCCAGAAAAAAAGAACCAGATGTTGAAGGAGGGGGCGAGAAAGACCTTTGCAATTGTTGCCAAAGGGAAAAACTCAGGTCCTGTTTCCCCCCCTTCCCCCCCTCTGCAGGGAGAATAGGGCTGCCCCAAAATCCTAGCTACGATTTGAAGAAGAAGTAAAAGAAAATAAAATAGTAAAGCTATGGCAGATTCATCCCAGTTCCCTAAGAATTTGAAAATCAGTGTGTGTGTTGGGGAGGGAGGTGGGTTTTCTCTTTGGGGAGGGCCCCACAAAAGAGCTCAATTTTAAAATCTGAGCCCAACAAACAAGTCCTGGCCCTGCCACTAATAAATTTTCTTCTGCTCTCTCCTCTTCAGACACCATTAGACAATTAGCACTCCTGCTCACAGTCCCCACAACTTTCATCAGATGAAATAACGTCCTAACTGGAGTGGAACTATTTTCCTGACTCCAAATAAAAAATGCCATCTTCCAAATACACCCTTAGTGAATCCGTCCTTGAGAAAGGGAGACTGAAATTCCTGCCTCCCCCTAATACAATAGGGCCCAGAGGCTGCCTGACCCAGCGCGGGCAGTCGGCAACAAACAACTCTTTCCCATAGTCAAACGCCAACCCCACCGCTAAGGTGCAGAGGGCATTTGCGGAACTTACTGCTTCTGCCTATGTTTAAAAAGTCACCCTTCCTGAAGTAGGACTCTTTCCTTTCTCCTCTGTTTCTAAGCCCCTCCCCCCCCATTTTGCCTTCTATCCTAATCTAAAATAATGAAACAAAACAAAAATGTTTGGTCGGCCACTAATCGCCTTTAATTTTTCATTTGCTTGTTACAGATGTCCATCGCGTTGCTCGCAAGGTAATCTCGCTCCGCGCAGCTGAGCGCCCCGCATCTTGCGCCTGCTACATCAAAGGGCCCGCGCACAAAGCAGTGTTTCTTCGCCACGGTGCATCTTCATGGTAAGTTAGGATTTCTATGGCAATGGGCAAGTCTCACTGAAATCCTGAAAGGCCAAGCCTGGAGCCCGTCCAGGCTTTTCATTAAGGACATAATATTTACGTCTAACAGACCTTTTTTCTTGTGTATACAAGTATATATTTTTGTTTGACGCGGACTAAATCATTTTCATTTAATTTCCGGTAAACAAAACCCACGCGAATGGGCACTTGTACCCGATCATAATAAAAATGGATAATAATGTGAAGGAAGAAAAGAGCCGCTTGAATCGCCGCTCAGCCCCCTTTGTTTCTGCTTTCTGCGGTGATCAGAGGGCGCATTTGGGTTTGATGGCGAGTTTCTAAAGGCGAGGAAATGGTTTGTAAGAGGGGAAAGAAAAGGAGAAAGGTCTAATCAAGCTTGGGTTGTTCAAAGAGTCGGGTTTTGGGGTTGAAAGTGTGAGTTTGACGGTGCATCAGCATGCCGCGTTAGGCTCGCCATGGAAATACGCGCGGGGAGCGGCCGCTTCAAAGGCGGCACACTTCACTACAGACACTCTATTAAGATACATTTGCGCTGACCTTTGCTTTCACGCCATTTAATACTGTCACTGCGCTCTCCAGTATATACTTCCTTCCTAGAACCCGACTTGCCCGCGTTTAGGGGTTCACCCTGCACCCGGATGTGGGAGGCTTTGGAGCAGGGGACACTTTCAGGAAAGGGAGGAGCACAAGGACTCTGTGCATCTTGACTGCGCACCAAAGAGCTCCAGGATCAGGAGTGAAAGATTTTAAAGCAGCCTCCGAAGCTTAACAAATGAGCATTCCAAACTCAGTTTTGTGCAAATCGCCTTTCTGACTCTTGAGTAGGATGGAGGCTTAAGTTTAATGGGGACTTGTGGGGAAGGGAGCCACCCTGGGGGAGTCTGAGGAGTTCAGTCTGTGCCCTTGGGACATTTCCACTCTGGCTTTCCTTACCACTCTTCTTCCTCTCCATCCCATAAGTCTCTTGCGGCCCCTCAAACTTGTTTCTTTCTAAGGCAGGGTGTGTGGTACCGTTAGGCCTGGACTTGTCCTAGATGCAAACTCAAGAGCCCAAGGCCAAGGGGATATGGGGAAGATGGCAGGAAAGTTAGAAGTCCATGTTCCCTTAATTGTCTTGTTGTTTATTTTATCCAAGTACCCCAGTGAATAGGGGAAAAATAAACACAGTGAAAAAAAAAATCAAACAGTGGAGTCTTCTTTAGTGCCAGTCCTTGTGGTTGAATAAAAAGGATGGTCCGCTTTCTATTGAGCTGAGAAATCTTTGAAGTGGGAGTTATTATCTGAGACATTCCTGCTTGTCGTCCTAACAACGCTGATGAAACGTAAAAGGTTCTTTGTCAGCGATTTGTTCTCCTCTCTGTCAAACTCCCTCTGCCCCGTTAGTTTCAAACCGTTTCTAAAGAGATAAAAATCAAACTTCTTTTAAAAAAATATCCACACACTGCACCAATACATAACTTTAGGACTAAGTCTTGCTAAGGGATAAACAAAAGCAATGCCTAGACATCAGGGTCAGGGCCTGGCCTGGTGAAGTATGCAGAAGTTGGGGGACCCTCGGGACAAGCTTTGGGACATGAGGAAAAGTATGCAGAGAGGGTCCAAGCAGAATACATACCCTAAGCCCATAATTGTATGTCTGCTTTCTTCTGCTCCGACTTGCACTCAATCAGCCCAAGTTGGTTCACCTGGATGGGTTCCTTTGGGTACCCCTCAAGCTGCTAATATTCTTGCCCAGGATCCTTGGAACTTAAGATTGCAGCCAAGCAATTGTTAATATCTCCTGCTCCTTCAAAGCCACCTCTGCTAAAAATAGACCCATTGTGTATTTCTTCTCACTAGCAGCAATCAACAAGCCCTTTCTGCCATTAATAAGAAGGAGAATAGCTGAAGGAGAGAGATGTTTTATTAATTTCCTGTTTCCTTCAGAATCTTGGCAGTTGAAACTTAGAAGATTTGGTCTACAACATAGTGATCGAAAATGCATGCAAATGCCCATCCTTCCCCTCATTCACATGTGCAGTTGTTCATTTTATATTGTGCCCAGGAAAGAAACTTTCACCCAGTTCAGGTTTCCCCAAAACTCCTGTTGTGGTTTTAAAGGTGGTTTAAATAAATAAGGATGTGCTGGTCCCGCTACACTGTGTGTGCTGAATAAATGACTTGTAAAGTTTTTCCGAGCTGTAACCCATGCTGTTATTATAGTTGCTGCAAAATGTTGTTTCTGATATTGATTTTATTTGTTAACTGGAGGTCTCCATATGTTTGTTTATATTGCTAATTTATGAGAAAATGTAATAATCGCAATGAATGTGAATTATACAGACAGGCAAACATTTTGTAATCATAATTCACATATACACAAAAGCCTGGCTGAAACCTTAGACTGTTTGTACCCTCTCTACCCACACTGTTTGTGATTTATCATCTGTCTCCTTAGTGTCAGTTAAATTATGAACTAACTTGAAAATAAAAAGTTGTTTGACTGAAAGTGATTGTTGAATGAACAACAAAGTTGAAAGCCATGGCTTGATCTTGTAAATATGTAAATGTAAATGATATTAAATCTGTGATTCCTTTTCCCTCCAAAGGCCTTTGTGTACATGGCACTCCATTTGGCTATTTTCTTTGGAAATAAATGATGTGATGTTCCCCTTCCTCTTTTGAATCCTGGTGTCCTGTTATTGTTTCTTCTTCTTGGGAGAGATTTGAGGCCCTCCAGAAGCCTCTAATTCTCTCCTCAGTCTTTCTTCACTGATTCACACAAATATCTCTGGGGGCCTAGTCTGAGGACAGCAAAAAGGAGGGACTCCCTAAAGAAGCCATTATGAGAAAGACTTCTCTCATCCCAATTTCACCCTAATGACCCTGACATCATCAACCAATTTATTAATACATTATAGAATGGAAAAAGTTGGAAGGATGCTCTCAGTGTCTGCCAGGAAAGGCTACCTTTCTGCATTTCCAGCTCACAGCAACATCTAATAAACCACGTCTGAATTCCCAGAGAAATGTCCAATAGCTGGTGGGAATGAAAACAAGGAAAGAAAAAGACAGGACAGTTCCGCTCTAAGACCTGACTAAGCGCTGGTGGAGTGTCTCAGGCACAGTTGCCCACAGAGATCTTCCTAGCTGGACTCTGCCCCATTTGAGAGAAGTGATTGCTCAGACCTCAAGGCTCCCTTCAGATACCTGCGAAGGTCTCCATGCCTGAAGACTGGGGGGCTACAGCCCACATGACACTTTCCTGGGCCGCGATTGAGATATGTGGTGAGTTTCAGCATCTGATACACGCCACTGTTACCTGGCCCAGCCACTGGGAAACTTATTTCAAATGAATCACCAGAGCCATTTTCCTTCCTCCACTGTGTGGCCACTAGACCTCTAGATACCCGCATACCTTGTTGCCCCTGCACCTACCGCTCAGGAGGCTTTCGCCTGACACTTTTTTAACTTCTGAGAAGTTGGTTCCCGTGGGCTTGGTTGGGGCAAAGGGCTGGATGGAGTGGGAAGACAACGACTCCTGGGGTGGGAATGCTGAGTCTCCTTAGAGAACACCTTGTAGACTCAATTCGTAGGGCAAGGGCTGCAGTCCTGGGTAAAACATTGGGAGAAAGGACCCCAGCGCGCAAAGGTGCGAGAGAGACGCACGGGTGTGATAAAGGCGGCCATGAGGGGAAACCAAGACGTGTCCCAGTCAATGGGATCCCTGAGAAAGGAGGTCCATGGGCGTTAACACTGGAGTTAGCGCCCCCTCCCGTTCCTTTCGCGGAAGGGCCCCCTTCCTCTGTCTCAGGGACGGATTAGAGGGGCCTCTCCTCAACCCGGCCTCTTTGAGAAAGAGCACTCATTAAAGCCCTTTAACCGACTGAGCATTGTGGTGAGGAGCAAGTGGGGATTAGGAATGAACTCGGGACTTCCAGTCAAGGCTTTTCTGGGGCTCGGAGCTCTCTGCTCAATCCTGCTGCCTGGAGTCTTCACAGCTGTTCCTGCCCATGGCTCCAGAGAGGATCCCAGCCCTTCTACCCACACCTTCCCATTCCTCCCAGGAAAGCCTGGCATGAGAGGGCACTCAGGAATTGAGGTCCGAATCATTCCCTAGAATGCAGAGAAAAGACAGGGTGCCCAGGAGGCTCTGCTGTCCTTGACATTCCGTGAAAGGGTTTTGGAGAAAGAAAGGCCTGTCTTCAAAACTTCCAAGTTCGAACTGTGAGGCAGTAGAAGAGGAAAGAGAAAGTGTTCTTAGACACCTCAGTGCCCCAGCCACTAGGAGAGCTGAGATTTCCTTTGAGTCATTATTGTTTGGCAGAGTTGAATAGTGTAACCTTTGACAGAGGGTTGAATTTACTGGTCCCCAAGTGCCCTTGGCTAGCCTCACCCTAGAATTATCTCACTTGCTCTCTGGGGAAGTTACCCACCCCCCACCCTGAACTGACAATGCTCAGAGAAGCTTGGGTGCGCTTTAGTCATCTAATGATCCCTCCACCTCATCCTGCTCTCTTCTTCGCTATTCCTCGTTAGAGCACCAGGTAGAAACTGCTGGCCTGGTGAAAAGATCTTGGATAAGAGGAGGCAGTCTGCCCACTTGTCCACCTACTGGCCCTGTGCCCCTGGATAAATGATGAAACCTCTCTGTGCTTTAGTTCCTTCATTTGTAAAATGAAATTAAAATGAAACTCCTTTGCAAGCTTGTTTTGAGTGTTAAATGAGATAATCCTTTAAACATTTAGAATGTACTTGCTAGTGCTAGTTGTTATTACTATTACTTATCTTGGGATTCTGTCTTTCAGAAACATTCCCCTAGCTCCTCATTGAATCAGGTGAATATTTTCGGTCCCTAGCAGAAATAGTGGCGCTCTCAGGGACCCTAAACTCCATAGCAGTGTGCACCTCCTTCAGGCAGTCGGAAGGATAACTGAAAGCCCCGATGTCACTTTGTTTTCTGAGATCAACTCTCTGAGAAGTTTATTATCTGAGAGTTCCAGAGCCCAGGGCACCCAGGCACTGAGGCAAAAATGTAAATTAGTTTTTAAAGATACAAGAAAAGTTAGAAAGAATTGAGTTTATTTTGGAGAGGAACAAAGCTGAAGAAACCAATTGCCTTAATGTCACCTCTATGACTTGTTAAGACTGGCATTGCAGTAGACACAATGGTTCAGTCTGCCTTGTGTCAATTTATCTTATCATAAGCCTGTGCGGTTTGGGTTTTTCAAGTCTTGGGTGTGTAAGGTGGGAAAATGTGAGTTGAGAGAGGGGACAGGCAGCTAAGGGTCTGAGGACAGGGTGTTTGGGCAAAAGTCACACAAAAGTACTTTTTTCCCAAGAAGACATCGGGACCTTTTTCACAATCATGATTTTTTTCTTACTAAATCCTCGTTTCAGAAAAATTAATAACATCTTGATCGACAAGTGACTGAAGATCCCCAAATTACATACTTTACCAACTTCATTTCTACGAATAAGGATAGGTTTGCCTTTTCACCCAAATATCTCCAATGAGAAAAACAAGTGGGAGTTTCCTAGGAATGTTTTGGGGCTCAGAACCCAAAGTCCTTCAGGAAAAACAGAAATTCAGTAGACACTTTGGGGAGGTCTTGAGTTTTGTCCCTGAATTGTCCAAACTGTCTAGTGGCTTTGCAAACATCCAAAGCAACTGCGTGGATAAGAAGAGAACAAAAAAAAAATACCTTAGGGCATGGGTACAGGTCCATCTAGTGTAAATGTGACCATGAGGATACACTTTGAAACTTGTCCTGCCTTCTTCTTTTCTTTTTTTCCCTCATTTAGAGCCAGTGTAGACTACGTGAGCCAAAATGCAGGGCAAAACAAGGTGAGCAAGGCTGTACATGATCTTGAATCAGAACAGCCTTGGGAAATGTCTGCAGAGAGAATAAAGCAAAATTAGAGAATTATCTATCATTATAGCTGTGACATGTAGTTGTAGAATTGCAAAAATAAGAAAAAATAATCCACCAATAACATTAGATGATGTATATAGGCTATCAGAAGGATGATTTAGTTTTCCCTTTTCTATGACTGAAGGCTAGCCCATGCAAGACCAGATTAGCCACATGAGAATAGTATTCTTTGCCAAAACTAAGGAGAAACTGCAGACACCTCAAGGTCCTTGCTTTGTGTCATTGCAAGGTCTTACTTAGGGTTTAACAGAGGCCTCTAGCTTTTGAACTGATTAATGTATTCATTAATCCTCTAAAGAGTACACCCAGCATCTTGGTGAAAAACGTTTTTCCTGAAATGTTCATATTTCTAAGCTATGAAAAATAGGCATCTGCCCCCAAAATATTTGCTTATTTATTTCCTCTGAGAGAATTGAGTTGCCTGATGCACATAAGCAGTTCCTCATCACACTTTAGCCACTTTCACCTGAGAAAATAGTTTCAAACATACCACAAATTTTTCCCTACATTTCCTGCCACTGCATTTAATAAAAAATTTATAGTGAAATGTTTTCTATTGCCCCCAAGGCTGGAAAACTTTCTTTTATAAAAAAATAAATAAATAAAAACCTGTTGTAGAAAAACAGCCTTTTTAAAAATGTGAAATATCATTTCATTGTAAAAAGTAAAAAAAAAAAAAAAAAACCGGAGTGGTAATCCAACTTCCGGAAACTGTTGTGAATTATTTCACCAGACCCTTTTAAAAGGGGATTAGCAGGGCTTTGGGAGCAAAATCCTTCTGTTTTATTCAATCTCTGATTTTATGTTATAATTACAAGCTGTAAAGACTCTGGAATTAGTATGCAGGCACTGTCAGGACCGATGCAGGTGCTATTCTAACGGTTCAGCTTTTTAATTAAGAAAAGAGGTAAGAAAATCGAATCATAAAAACACTTTTGTGAGAGCTGAGAACATTGCAGCAACTGCATGAATAAAGCCTTTATACCTTGCCCTGACAGGTCAGCTACTGAGGCTCTGACTTACGACCTTTTCAGGGCCAGACAATAGTTAACAGCTTTCTCACCTTGTCCCCACAGAACCTTTTCTTCTAGGACGGATCTTATGGAAATTGCCTTAAGTAGCTTCACTTTCACAAAAGATATTGCAGTTAGAATGGATAGAATGGATACATATCCATATTGAAATGCCTGCTCTTCAGTCCCAACTACAGATCTCTTGTTCTCTGGATCTCTTCTCATGGGTGGGGGAGGGTGGTGTCTAGGAGGCACAGAAAGCAGATGAGGGAATAAAATCTGCCCTGAAATAGGCATACAGGGGCACACAGAACCAAGGCCAAAATGAACACCCCCACCCCTCCACTCCTGAGAAAACTAAACAGAAAAAACTCAAAACAACAACAGCAAAAACAAGTTTAAAAAAACACCCAAGCCATGGGATGCAGGCTGTTCTTGGCTTTTCTGAAGTGGACTCTTCTTGCAGGAAATAAATTTGGCCTGAACACTCCATAGTGGCTTTGGAGGCAGCCAAACCCAATGGGGGTGGCTTAGTCCTTTGTAAGTTTTTCAGCTCCTTAGTTACCCCTAAGTGTTCTTCACCTGTGAGTAAAATTGTTCTTACTCACAATACTTCAAGGCAAGTTCCCCAGCTGTTCCACCGTAGTAAAGCTGGAGCTGCCTCAGCCTTGGAACACTTGACTGCGTTAGACCTGTGGAGGCCCTGGAGCCCCCACTATTCTCCTATCTCCGGCTTT